ATATATAAGCGCCAGATATGACCAACGTTTTATATCTTTACAACGCAAAGCACTGTGATTGAGAAAAGTTTCCATGCACTTGTTATTTTTATTAAATTTTTAAATTAATTCAAATTAAATTAAAATAAAATTTACAAAAATAATAAAAAAAAAAGAGAAACTTGTTAATTTTTGACCTTGTTTGCAAAACACAAAAGCGTAAGAAACAATTATTTACCCATTCATAGAGAATTTTATCATTCAAGATCCTTTTCTTTTCTTTCAATAAACAACAAGCTTTAAAAACAATTGTTGTTTGATTCACTTGGAAAAATTTTCTTCGAATTACAAAATTATACGTAGAAGCGCTTTATGTGGACGGAAGGAAATTTTCAAAGAAATTATATAAGGAAGGAACTGCGATGCGAGCCTTGCAGAAGCAATTTAGGTGAAAGCAATATTCAAGGAAATTATTAAAAGGAAGGAATCCTTACAACAGCCTTAGAAAAACATTATTAAAAAGCTTTAATAATGTTGCATAATATTCGGTGGTGGTTTCCTTTTCTCAAGACGCTCTTTAGTTATTATAATAATAATAATATTTGTGAATCATCTATCATTGGTTTGCTAACTTGCAGGCGAAGGATAAGTAGAAGAGACTATTCGAGGAACCTATTAAGTATATTTAAAAAAAATTATTTTTAAAAGATATTGAAAAATAATAATGCACGAAGCACCCTCATTTTAGGAGGCTCGACAGCATTGCAGCAGTGCAACTGATGCAAACTTGAATCAAAAAAAAAAAAAAGAAAAAAAAGTCTCTTAATCTACACATCTGCACATAAAGGACGCTTCGTTACAACAATTTTGATTTTTGTATGATCGAAGGAAATTTGCATGAAAAACTTCAATTTCCGATCAAAGAAAGGCAATAATTTGTTAAATGAACTTATCGGAGATCACCCACATACATACTATCATTTTAGAGATATTATACGAAGCTTAATGAGAAGAATGAAAATTACTTTTGTTAAGCTGCAAGTCGTTATGAAAAATCATATTTTGGAAAGAAAAGGAACTGAAGCTTTGAAATGTGTTATGAAATATTCGCTTGTTTGAAAATTTTTCCCATTAGCTACCTACTGTTACTGTAAGGACATAAATCTGCCCTTCCATGTTCAAGTATTCTTGTTATCTTCGTTTCCTGAACTTTTTATGATAGACATAGCTACGTTTACTGTATCTTTCAAACAAACCTCGATGTGCTTGATGCAGTCTAGCACATGATTGGTCGTCTTGCTTTGATACGATTAATGCTTTGTTGTTTTTTTTTTTTCTTCTTTTTTTTTGTATTTACACTGAAGCTACTATTAAATTATAAAATATTAAAAAGTAAAACATTAAGCTGCACCTTCCCAGATGGGATTTATTTGATGTTATTTGTCTTGTTGGAGCGCTTGGGGAAAAGCTTGAAAATGTAAAATAAATATTTTTTACAGGTAATGAACTTTTTTGCTCACATTCTTAAACGGGTTGCCAAACTTTCTGCCAAATATTCTTTAGTAATCACTACTTTTCTTATATAAAAATTAGTCATCTTTCGTCTATTGCAACGATAGCAATTAAAAAAAGTGTACTTCGCAGCACCCGTCCCAAGTGATAGATAACCAAAAGATAACTTTCTAGCCTGAGTAGATATCAGATTTTATAATAATATTATCACAATCTGGGCAGTCGAGCTGCCTGCAATAACTCGGTTCTTTTTAAAAAATATATTCGCTTTAAGGTAGTGGTTAAGAGTCGAGTACGGATGAACCACGCGAGAGAGACACTGCGCCATCCCCGATTTTTCCTAATCAATGTTAAATGTTGAATAAAATGTAATCTGTTGACATTTTGCCGAATACCTTGTCCCCGAAATTCCATAGCGACACCTTTCCAATTTTATTCTTTAATCAATACGTATTAAAAACGAAAGCCACACAGCTGTTAATCTTACAGTCATGTCAAATATTTATATTATAGATACAAGAATGTTGCGTGTCCTGTGGTCGGATGTTCGCATAATCACTCGTCACAGAGCCCGGCATTCAACTACTTATTGTGTCAGTTTCTATACGAGGATATTCAGAGAAGTATGGAACCTTGCAGAAGACACACCTGTTATTCAATATAGTCAGTCCACTTTCAGCTTAGCATACCTTTCCCATCGATATCATCGACAGCATCATAGTGAAAATTGTCGAAATTCTTAAAATAGCCATCAAGCGTAAATCTTGCCGCTACATTGTTAACAAAACTTTTTCATGTTTAAGGAAAAGATACTTTGATAATCTTAATGGCTTAAATGTGATATGAGGAAGAGATTCGACATTTGATTCTTTGATCATAGCCATCGCGATAAGGGATATAAGGGATGTAAACTGAAAGTCTTGTTCCATTGTACACCAATTCGGCGCTTGCCATGCGCTCAGCCTTCTAATATGTAAATCTTTTATTTACAGAAGTTTAACCCACGCCTACCAATGATACACTCGCACACTTTCAGTTATTTATTACTTTTGTTTGGGGATTTTCGACCATTGCTAGCATGACGATATCGTTTGGTTGATTACTGAATTTCAGTCTTGACAGCTAGTAAGGTTCCGTTTAAATTCTACTGCACTCATCACAGCAAGCAAGGGGAACTATTCTTCCAGAGTAAAATACAGTTTGACTTTAATTGAGTCGCTTCGAATGAAATTATTTTGTTTTTGTATTATTAGATACGTTCACTACAAGTTCACTACGACTGACGTAGCATCTTAAAACTTCAACTTAAGCTTGAAAAAGCTTTGCCAAGTTTTCCAAAACAACAAATGTCGTCTTTGCGTCATATGTCATGTGTGTACTCTTGCATCTATCCTCGTATATAAAAATTACCCTTAATGTATATGTGTTAATAGTTGACATAGTAGTCTCGAGTAAGTGTAATCATATACGTCTCTCGATTCAACCTTCAATTTTGTACTCGGTTAGTTGTGCTGAACTTCAATCGACATTATTCGCGAAGTTTTTATTATTTTCATTTATACGCCTTTGAAATGAATGCAACTTTTTCATTTGTCAAATTTTATTCCTAAATTTCAAGAAAAACGACATTTATTTTTATATCCACGAATATTATGAAAACATAAATTATTATGACTAAAACTACTGTTTGCTATGTATGCATGTAATGGGAAATATTTGCCAAGCCTGCTAATTGTGCCAATTTTGTCATTAAATACAAAAAAAAAAAAAAACAATTTCAACAGATAAATGTCAACAATGAAAAACGAAAAATAAATGCGAGAAAGCATGAGAGTTGCTTGCCCTTATGTACTAAAACTGTTGCTAGTGCTTTCAAGGTCGCAAACAAAAAAATTTAACATTGCTTTAAGGAAAAGAAAAACCAAAAGACGACAAAATGATACAAAAGTTAAATTTGTGCGGGGAAAAAATAAAGATCTTCTTCGATAAAATTAAACTGGCAAAGGGGTCAAGGCCCTCTACGACAGCTCATACATCAAGAGATCTTCATATTAAAAATATTAACTGATAAAATTAAATTTTGAGTAGTCATGCATGCGATAGATCTGAAAGTTCTCTGACTCTTCAGATAGAAAATTTTTGTAAATAGTAAAATGATCTCATCCTTTTTATTATGTATACACATATATAATACATAGCCAAATATTTTAGATCAATCTGATTGAATGCTTAAAATGTTAGTGCGTCTAAAATTGATTATGTATGAAATGTTAGTGCGTACTTGATAAATAAATTTACTATTCATAAGTTTGGATTCTATTGGTTTCTTTCCTCAATCCTGCCTATACAAGAGCTCTCGCGATATGTAAGCCTAATTTTACGACAAAGATGTGCTTAGGTGACTTAGGTTAAGTGAAATGGTGTAGGGTATTTCAAATATGACAATTGACAAACTATAACGGTTTAACTATCTTTTTTTTATTTATGTACTCTGCGTTCTTTGCTTATCGCATGATATTGTTTCTCCTATGCTGTGACCGTATAAACAAGAATGATTGTAAATTCTTTCATTTATTCATCGGTGAAGTAGAATCTGCGGTTTTTTGTGATTCGCACAATTTGCTTTCATCGCAAAAAGTTAATCGAATCCAATAAGGATTGAATTCCGTTTTCAAAAAAAATATTGTGATTCAATTTTTTTTTTTTTTTTTTGAGAAACTTAATAGAAATTCAAAAAGTTCCTCTTATATTATGTTATTGAAAAACGTGCAGATAAATCGACCAAGTGGAGAAGATAGATTTATTCAACATTCAATTAAAATGATGCCTGAGAAAACCACAAGCAATTATGCATTTTAAAGAAAGTACTCGAGGTCATCACATATTTTGGTAAAAGCTTCTAAAGGGTTAAAAAGCTAAGAAGGAGTCACTTTTTTAGGTCTTTTATAAAAAACATATCAGGGTTTTTACATAGAACCTATCATGAAGTTATCGCTTACTTATGTGTTTCACAAAGGACTGAGTAACTAAGGTGAGGTGGCTTTCTTACGTCTTTTACAAAGGACTGAGAAACTAAGGTGACATGGCTTCCTTATG